CTTCCCTCCCTTCCCTTCCCCACTATTTTCCTTTCCTTTCCTTTCCTTTCCTTTCCTTTCCTCCCTTTCCTTTCCTTTCCTTTCCTTTCCTCCCTTTCCTTTCCTTCTCTCCCTTTCTCCTTCTCCTTCTTTCTCTCCTTCCCTTCCGTTCCCTTCTATTCCCTTTCCTTTTCTCCCTTTCTCCTTCTCGTTCTCCTTCGCTTCCTTTCCTTTCCTTCGTTTCCCTCCCCTCCCTTCCCTTCCCCACTATATTCCTTTCCTCTCCTCCCTTTCCTTTCCCTTTCCTTCCCTTCCCTTCCCCCTCCCTTCCCTTATCTTCCTTTCCTTTCCTTTCCTTTCCTTCCTTTCCCTTTCCCTTTCCTTACTTTTCTCTTCCTCTTCCCTTCATTTAACTTCCTGGTTTTCCACAGAACTGTTCAGCCTCCTTTGCTATAAAAACAGGTGAGTCTCACTTTTGCAAACCTTGGTCACTTATCTTAGAGCTGGGAATTAAAGCATGGGGGGCTGGGAAAGGGGGCTTACCAGTAAGGTGGTAACAGGATGGACCCCTGTAGCCACCAAGCCATCATTTCCCAGGCATGGGAGACACAGGAGGGTACGGCTCAGGTGGATCTGGGTCTAATCCTGCAAAGCAATTCTGTTCTTCGCTAGGCTTTCGGGGTCTAAGGCAGGACTAGAACTCACCGTCTCCTGGTGATTGGCCCAAAATCACCCAGCTGGCTTTCATTCCTAAAATGGAACTAGAACTCACCGTCTCCTAGTGCCCAAAGTCACCCAGCTGGCTTTCATATCTCTGTCGAAGGCAGGACTAGAACTCACCGTCCTTTGGGTTGGATCTGACCCGGGTAGGCCCAGAACCAATGCCTGTTTCTTCTGTAACCCCTCCAGCATCCCGTTTGGTCACCGAAGAGTATGGCAGGATGTCGCTGCAGTTGGACATGGAGGAGAAACTGAGGCAGCAAGCAGAAATCTTTGCCCGTCAGGTGGGGCACCACTTCTGGCTGGGCACGTCTCTGTTTAGACCAGAGGTAGGCCACCTTGGCTCTTTTATGACTGGTGGACTTCAATTCCCAGAATTCCTGAGCCAGCCATGCTGAGGGGAAAGGGAGAGGTTTCCATGCTTAGCCATGCTGGCTGAGGAATTCTGGGAGTTGAAGTCCACAAGTCATAAAGCGGCCTAGGCCTAGGCCAGGGGTAGGCAACCTTGGCTCTTTTATGACTCGTGGACTTCAACTCCCAGAATTCCTCAGCCAGCCACGCTGAGGGGAAGGGAGAGGTTTCCAAGCTGAGCCATGCTGGCTCAGGAATTCTGGGAGTTGAAGTCCACCAGTCATGAAGGGGCCAAAGTTTTCCTCATGCTGGCTCAGGAATTCTGGGAGTTGAAGTCCACGAGTCATGAAGCGGCCTAGGCCTAGGCCAGAGGTAAGCAACCTCGGCTCTTTTATGAATGGTGGACTTCAACTCCCAGAATTCCTGAGTCAGCATGAGGAAAACTTTGGCCCCTTCATGACTCGTGGACTTCAACTCCCAGAATTCCTGAGCCAGCCATGCTGAGGGGAAAGGGAGAGGTTTCCAAGCTGAGCCATGCTGGCTCAGGAATTCTGGGAGTTGAAGTCCACGAGTCACAAAAGAGCCATAAAAGGTTGCCTACCCCTGGGCTAGACTCCGGGAGAGGAATTTGTGGGTGTCTGAAAACTCTCAAGGGCACAAACAGCCGAGACTGGTGAGTAGGGGAGTACACAATAGCAGCCTTCCAATATCTGAGGGGCTGACATAAAAAAGAGGAGGGGGGTCAGGACAAGAAGCACCGGAGGGAAACTCATCAAGGAGAGAAGCAACCTGGAACTAAAGGAGGAATTTCCTGACAGTGATAATTAATTAATAATAATCATTAATTAAGCAGTGGAACAAACTGGTCAGCCCAACCAAAGAACCTCCAACATCACTTTCACCAAAACCGACAGGGCAAGTTACTTGAATATGCAGTAAATTGAGAGCAGGCCCCACTCCCTTCAAGCACTGATGACGTTCCCTAGCTGGGTAATGAAATGTCTGCAATGAAACAACCAAGCTCAGAGAGGACCTGGGACCCCAGAGTTGTCCTCCTCCTCCTCCTCCTCCTCCACACAAACCGCCCTCCCTTCTAGCACTGACAATGTTCCCTAGTTGGGAACTATGGAACAATGTTCCCTCATGAAATATCTGTAAGAAAACCCCCCAACTCAGAGAGCACCTGGGACCCCACAGTCTTCCTCCTCTTCCTCTTCCTCCTCCTCCTCCTCCTCCTCCTCCTCTCTGCAAACCGCCCTCCCTTCCAGCACTGACAATGTTCCCTCGTTGGGTCATGAAACGTCTGCAAGAAAACCTCCCAGCTTAGAGAACACCTGGGACCCCACAGTCTTCTTCCTCCTCCTCCTCCTCCTCCTCCTCCTCCTCCTCCTTCACAAACCGCCCTCCCTTCCAGCACTGACAATGTTCCCTAGTTGGGTCATGAAACGTCTGCAAGAAACCCCCCCCAGCTCACCCGGGACCCCTCCCCTGGCTTTCCTCCCTGGACAGATGCTGCTGAAGCAGAAGGAGGCCCACCGTCAGAGCCTGGTCCTGATGCAGAATGTGGGAGCGGAGGCCCAGCTTCTCCTGGCCTTGGAGGATGTGGCCCAGATGACCCGGCAGCTGGAGGAGACCAAGATGGAGCACGAGGCCCAAGTGAGCTTCGAGGCGTCAGGTGTCCCCCTTCCCTCTCCCTCCGAGAGCCGAGCTCTCACCTGAGGCCGGAAAGCCCCCCCGGGGAGCAGAAGGGCCCCCCCCAACTCTGCTAAGTGGGAGAGGGGAGAAGACGGAGCAAGACTCGGAATGGGTGGCAATGGGGTCTGAAGGCCAATGGGACCCAAGGAGGCAGCAGGGACTAGCCCCTTGGAATGACAAGCTGCCTTGAGTCTTCATTGGCAAATCCTGGCTCTGTGGTTTTTCTCCCAGCCTGTTCTAGAATCGGGGAGGGGGGAAGTTTTATTTATTTATTAATTAAAGAAATCTACCTGGCCACCCAATTCAACACTGACTTACAACTTTGGCAACTGGGAATTCTGGGAGTTGAAGTCCACAAGCCTTAAGGTTGCCGAGTTGGCTGGGGAATTCTGGGAGTTGAAGTCCACAAGCCTTAAGGTTGCCAAGATTGGAGACCCCTGGCTTACAACATTAAAAACCCACAACATAACAACCACCAAACAGCCCCATCCTCAGTACGACAACCACATCGAGCACTTGTCGGGCTCCATCTCCATTCGTGGTCCCCAGGGCCGCTGAGGAAGCCACATCTTCAGGGTCTTGGTGGGGGCCAATTGCACCTGAAGGGGGATGAAGCTCCATAAAGAGGGGGCCACCAACGAGAAGGCCCTTGTTCCTGGTCCTATTACATCACGGGTCTTCCAACTTTGATGACTTGTGGACTTCAACTCCCAGAATTCCTCAGCCAGGCATGCTGGCTGAGGAATTCTGGGAGTTGAAGTCCACTCCTCTTAAAGTCTATATCCGGGGTCTTCAAGCTTGGCCCTTGTATGACTTGTGGACTTCCAACTCCCAGAATTCCTCAGCCAGGCACGCTGGATGAGGAATTCTGGGAGTTGAAGTCCACTCCTCTTAAAGTCTATATCAGGGGTCTTCCAACTTGGCCTTTTGATAACTTGTGGACCTCAACGGGTGGAAACTCATCCAGGAGAGAAGCAATCTAGAACTAAGGAGAAACTTCCTGACAGTGAGAACAATTAACCAGTGGAACCACCTGCCTCCAGAAGCGGTGAATGCTCCAACACTGGAAGCTTTTAACAAGAGACTGGACAGCCATTTGTCTGAAATGATATAGGGTTTCCTGCCTGAGCAGGGGGTTGGACTAGATGACCTCAAAGGTCCCTTCCAACTTTACTATTATTATTATTATTATTATTATTATTATTATTATTATTATTATTATTATTATTATTATTATTATTATTAATTCCTCAGCCAGGCACGCTGGCTGAGGAATTCTGGGAATTGAAGTCCACTCCTCTTAAAGTCCGTATCAGGGGTCTTCCAACTTGGCCCTTTGATGACTGGTGGACTTCAACTCCCAGAATTCCT